GGCCAAGTGGGGCAACAACCCCCAGCGAGGCTCGAGGGGACCCCCAGCCCACTCCCGTGGCAGGAGGCAGGGCCATGCAGGGTAGCCACAGTGCCAGAGCCACCAGCAGCACTGCAGGGGCCACAGCCACCACAGACCAATGCAGGGCTCATGAGGAACCCCCCCAGATCCCAGCAGAATGGCAAATGTCACGGGAAAGGGTCCATGTGAGGCCCACTCAGACTCTTCCTTGCCCCGGCACTGACAAAGGTCCCCAGAGAGCAGTGCAAGATATTCCATGTCACCGGCTCCAGTAGCAGGGCAGGGCTTCCAGTTCCAGGGTTTGGAGTTAGGAGAGTGGAAGGGAGAACAGAAGGAGGAAGGGAGAAAATAACTGCCCAGTTGCAAATCTCTGCCTGGGGAGGAAGGACTTTCTCTTTCCTGCCTAGGGAAGGGTATTTCTGCTCTCCCCATTCGCTTGCTGGTGGGACCATGGCTGGGGAGGTCTCTCCGCGGAGTATTTGCTAAGCAAGGAGCGCAGGAACCCAAATCCAGGCCACACCCCCACCCAGGCAGTATTTTCACATCACCAACTGACACCCCAGTTTCTCACAAGTCACCACACCACACATCTCACCTGCACGAGAGGACAGTCAAAGCAGGGGCAGGCAACAAGGAGGTGAAACGCCCTGGCCTCAAAGCACAGCTTGATGTGGCATCAGAGAGAGATGCCGAAACCCAAGCAGACCCTCCAAACCACAGGTTCAGCCGTGGGCTGGGCTGAGCCACAGGCTTTGTGTCACAGCTGTCCCAGAGCAGAGGGGGCTGGCTCAGCAGGTGACAGTCTGCCAGGCTCTCTGGGCATCCTCCAGCAGAGCCACAGACACTTGGAGAGTGTCTGCCCCGACCTCTGCGCCAGCCCGGATTGTGGTGGGAAGGGGACCTCAGCCAGCAGCAGGTTTTTGGGCTGTTGCATCACCTCCGAGAGGCATCCTGTAGGGACACACGGGATGTAAGTGGAGGTGGGGGCAAGTGCCAGAGCTGCCTAACACTTCTTTTCTCCTTGTCTGTCTATTTGTGTGTTGCAGCAGTATCATCCCACCGACATTACCGGCCAGCTCAACCTCTCTGACCCCTCAGTCAGCACTGTGGTGTGACCTTCTCCCCGAGGGCCATCAGTCCTTGCCCAACACAGTAGGAAGGCACGGCCAGGACTGCCTTTCCAGGGACACTGATGGGTTCTTCTGGGTGAGATGGGAGAAAAACATCCTTCATCCATACACGGTGACTTCATTGTATATCTCCCTCCCTTCCCAGGCCTGCTGCCACTCTCATGCCCCAGGATGCGCGGCAGAACCAGGACACAGTTTGGACTTCCCTGTACAGAGATAACTGCTTCCAACCAGTGCTGTTGATAACTAGTATTGCCACGGACTGGTGACGTTCAAGGGGAAAGGACTTTGAAAGGCACATGGTGCCTGCTCTCCCACAGCAGCGGGGAAGAGCTGGGGCCAGAATACAAACACATGCTTCACTTTGCAGGCTTCAGGCTTTGCAGCACACACACAGCTCCTCAGACATGTGCTTCATGTCTCCCACCATCCCAGAGGGCTCCAGTGGTCCCAAGCAGCTGGAGCAGCTGGCACAGCTCAGCAGGTTGGGCCAAATGTTCCTGCTGTGCCAAGGGACCCTTGCTCTGCAGCAGGGATGAAAGGTGTGTGCTCTGCTCCTCACAGGATGGACCTCCCTCCCACCAGCCCGTAGCTGTGACTTGGCTCCTCTGTGTGGCCTATGTGAAGCAGGAGTGCTCCCAGCCCTGCAGCCCACACTCCTCTGCTAAACCTGGTGCCTGGACCTCATTACAGGCTGTCAGCCAAGACTCTGGCTCCCCACCTCTCCTGACAAAAGACATCCCCAGGACCTGGCCATGGCCAGCATGTAGCTCTCTCACCCTCACTGTGGCTCTCCTGGCCAGGAACATCACGACAGGGAATGGCTCTGGATGGTTGCACTGACCTTCAGCCAAGCTCCACACTGCCTCAGCACCAGCAATGCAAGAAGAGATGCTGCTGGCCAGTCGTGGTTTGCTGTGTGCTGTGGTGGCCTCAGTGGCCACCCAGCCTGCCCACAACAGGCCCTGGCAGCTTCCCTGCCATGTGCACTTGCAGCTCCAGCTCAGCAGCAGCTCCCACGGCAGCCCTGAAGACTTAGCTCATGTGGCTGCATCTGCCCAGACCTGGAGACATGGAAACTAGATCCCAGTTCAGGAGAAGGGAACCAAACAAGACATGCTAGTGTCCTTCCTCCCCTCCAGCACATATGCCCGCCTGCCAACATCCCTAAGTCCCCTCCCCATGGGTGCTGTGAGCAGCTGTGGAGGCACCAGTCAGGCTGGTGATGAGCAGCAGAACATGGGCAGCATCACTTCCCACCTCCTGCTAAGGTGGAAAACCAACCTGCGACGTGGTTCCAAGCCCCAGTGGCATGAACTGCCTTCTCCTTGCCCCAGATGAGCAGAGGGGGCTTCCCTGGAGGGTCAACAGCCCTCACAGGCAGGATTTTCAGGTGGCAGTTAAGGTCTGTGAGCATCATCCCACTGACTGCAGTGGCTCCATCAAGTTCATCCTGCTCCAGCTGAGAAATTGGACCCATTCTACTTTATACGTCAATGTAACATTAATATCAAGTTTTTGCAAGAGCTCAGTAAAGTCTAAACTGGATTGTGAAGTGGTTTATTCCAGTGCTGTGTGCCTCTTTCCATCTCTGCCTTCTGGCAAAGCTGGCAGGGAGCCCTGGGCTGAATCAGAGCCTCACCCAGCACTGCTGCAGGGTTTGCAAGCAGTAAAAGGTGGAGGGACAAAGAAGTCAGCAGGGAGAAAGGCCAGGAGCTGTGGGGAGGACTGGGAGGGAACTGACATCCTGAAGGGCTTGTGGGGGGCATAGGGCTGGCAGTGGCAGCGGAGGACTGGAGACAGTCTGAAACTGTCCAAATGCCAGCACCATGCCCGCTGGCTCTCACCCACCTCCATGGAGCAGACAAGGGTCCTCTGGGACCTCCTGGGAGGGAGGGACTGGCCAATGGGGCTGGCCTGCAGGATGATTCCAGACACAGGAGGTGTCCAGAGGGATTTCCAGAACAGGGAAGCAGCACCCCTGGGCTGAACTGCAGCAGCATCGCTCACTGGCAGCATGATCCCCATGGGCTGAGACCACCAGCACAACCTCCACAGAGGTCTCAACCTCAGGACCATCTGGGAGGAGGTGCAGGGCTCAGGTGGCCATGCAGGTCCCTGCTCCAAATGGGAAGCCCAGGCCTTCTGGGGCAGGACCGAGCACTGTCACTGGAGAGGGTCTGGGAGGACTGGGCTTGCTCCTGGGAAAGGCACCTGGTCCTGGCAGAGGTCCTGCAGCCCTCACCCCCCTGCCTGAGGAGAGGTACTGCAGGAAGAGCCGAGAGGGAGCCAAGCTGAAGGCAGCACATGGGGTTGGTTTCTGTCTTGAAAGTTAAAATGGAAGCAAACCACAACTGAGTGACATTTGGTTTATTCTCTGCACTGTTTGTTTAACTCTTGCCAAGATCTTGCCAAAGGATGCGCTCACTCCCACCACATCCCTGGCTTGTGACACAGCTCTGGCACGGGTGAGAGCTGGAGCTGGAGGGGGAGGCTGGTGGCCACAGTCATCTCCTCATGACTAACTGCTGTGCAGTGGGTCAGGCCTGACGACAGGAAGGGCTGTTGCTCACCCTAGAGAGAGGCTTTGTCACCCCAGCTTGTGCCTCCCTCTGGAGCACAACTCCAGCTCCTCCCAGGCCCTCTCCCAGTATGCTCACTAAGCATTTCCAAGCAGTGCTGGGGAGGGGTGTTTCTGTGGGGAAGGGCAGGAGGGCAGGGAGATTCAGGGGCAGCACCAGCCCCTCTCTGTGCCAGGTGGGGGGTGATGCAGCAGCCAGGGCTGCAGGCTCAGTGCTGTAAACCCACACAGGTTTTTGTCCCCACTCCCATGACAGAGCTAATCCCAGAGCTTGGCTTTGGTTGAGCTTTAGCCTCAGGGAAAAGCTACTCGGGAAGGAACCCCCGTGCAGCCTCACCCTCCCTTTGGCAGCCTTTGCTGAACCACATCAGTGAGAGCTTGAGGCTTCACCTCCTTCCAACCCTCACCTTAAATCTCAGCCTCACCCCAGACCTTGGTTGTTGGTTGAGCCTTCTCAGCACCAGCAGCCCCCTCTCATGGAAAAAAAAAAAAATACAAAAAGAAACATTTTTGGAACCTGCCCTTTCCTTGTGCAGCACATGGAGGGGTCTAGGGCTCTCTGAATGTCCCGTGGAGGCTCTGAAGTGCTCCAAAAGTACCCAGAGATCTTCAGGTGCACCAAAAGGCACAAAGAGAGCTCTGAGGCACAGCAAAGGGTAAACCAATGCCTGTCAGGACACAGGAAGTCAAACAGGTAGCATTTGGGTGCACAAAAAGCCAAGCCAAGGGGTCCTGAAGTCATGGAAAGGCTTCTGGGGTCACTGAATGGCAGCTGGGCAGCGCTGGGGGCAAACTGAAAGGCATGTGGAGTCTCCAGAGCTGCACTGAAAGGCACGTGGAGACTGCTGGGGTGCACTGAAAGGCACACAGAGGAATATGGGGTGTCCTGAGATGCACATCGGGGCACCCAGGATGCACCAAAAGGCACCCAGAGGCACATGGTGCTTTCCAAAACAGACAGTGAGTCCCTGGGCAGCAGGAGGGGCAGGACAGGGTGAGCTGGAGGAAAAGAATCACCTGGCAACCCTCATGAAAGAGATGAGCAGGTCTGAGGTGGCCTGGGGCAGCCTCTTGAGACACTAAGAGCAGCTGCAGCCAAACCGTGCCCGGAGCTGGAGTGTGGCATCTTCCTGGGGGACTCTGGGAGAAGGAAGAAAAGTAATTTCCAGGAACAGAACATCCACTATTGGTCCACAGATAATTGTTTACAACAGGAGGGTGCAGACAGCTGGAGAAGGGCATGGATCACCTCCTTCCCTGGCACCCTCTCAGCAGCTCCTGCAGACACGGGGTCTCCTCCTGAAGGGTTCCCTGCGCAGGTTCTGGTAAACGACTGTGATGGAGCCCATGAAGGTGCAGAAGAAGATGCTGGCCATGAAGGAGAATGGTCCAATGATCAAGAAGGTGATGTACTGCTGGGAGGACAGTGACGTCTCCTGACATTGCCTGAAGGACTCATTCCCGAAGGCCATGATGGGATAATTGTTTAGCTGCTCCGGGGCTTTGCAGAGGAGCAGAGTCTTCTCTGGAAGAGAAAAGCAGTGCTGACAGGTACATTGGGCAGCTAGGACAAGGCCAGTGTCAAGGACAGAGAGGATGTCAGGTTTGCATGGGACAGAAGGGACCAGGGCAGGAGGACATGGACCAAACTGACCAAGATCACCTAGGGCAGGGTACAAAGAAGGAGAGCAGTGAGGGTTCAGGGCACACCTACATCCTGTGTCCCGGGGAGTGGGATGGGGATGTGGGCACGTTGCTGGAGGGGGCACTGGAAAATAGGTTTGTGGCAGAGTGGTCGATGGGGTAGGGAAGGGGGGTTGGCCTGGCTCACAGGGGACAGATGTGGGGAGCAGTGAGCAGCCAGCCTGGAGATGCCACAAAAGGTCCCAGCAGAAACAGAAGAGTCTCAGAAGAGACAGGCATGTTCCTGAGCTGGAAGCAAGCAGAAGTGGGTGACAGTGGAGAGGGAGACACTGCTGGCAGAGCTGAGGTACCCGGAGGAAGAAATGTGGGTGCTCAGGAAGGCTTTGGGGAAGGGGCAGAAGGCACTGAGTCCTGGCTGGGTCAGCAGTGATGCCCACCCTGACACACAGGTGCCCAGCACACCTTGCCCTCAACGTCACAGGACAGATCCTACTGCTGGGGACAGTGCTGGGTGCCCATTGCTGAGACACAGCCCAGGCAACCCCTGCTGGTGACCAAGGGTGGGCACCAGGCACCAGACCCAGGGCTGCATCTACCCAAGCAGATACAAGAGCTGCAGTGGTGAGAGGACAATGGGTCCTGGAGATCCTCACTGTACCCTCATGGGCATCAACCAGGCAAGCACCCAGGGTGCCTCAGCCCCAACAGGTTGGCCAAGCAGTGTGGAGCGGGTGGGGGGCTTGGGGACACGGTCCTCGGGGCACTCACCTTGCACCTTCTCCCTGTTGTGGCTGAGCCAGCGCCAGAGGGGCCGGATGCGGCAGCTGCACACCCAGGGGTTGTCCTGCACCAGGAGGGCTCGGAGCTGGGGCAGAGCACCCACCACCCCAGGCTCCAGCTCCACCAGCCAGTTGCTGCCCAGGTTGAGCGTGACCAGACTGGTCAGGGGCAGGAAGGTTTTGGGGCTCAGCACAGTTAAGTGGTTGTTGCTGAGGTCCAGGTCCCGCAGAGCCCCCAGCCCCACCAGCGCCCGGCTGTGGATCAGCTCCAGGCGGTTGTGGGGCAGGCTGAGCAGCAGCAGGCCCGGCCG